ACCCAATCGCCACCGCCCCCCGGGGGGTTTCCGCCGCCCCTGCCCCTCTCCAGTGCCTGCGAAGAAAAGCGAGGGGTGGCAGCAGCTTTGTGGACCTCCCCAGCCCGTCAGGGGTACACCGCAGACCCCCCCCGCCCCCGCTGACCCACAACCTGAACCAGACCGGGGAGAGGAAAGGAATTCCCAGAACGAGTGCCTCATTTAAAAATAAAGTTATATTTTTTTCACCCACTTAAAAAGTCTAAAATTTAGAGTGCAAGACTATAGTACAGAAACCTCCTGCTGCCCCCGTCCCCGCGCGGGCACAGCGCATTTGCCAGTGCGCAGAGCAGCAGTCATGCAGTTTACGTCATCAGTAGAAAATTTTTTTGTTACAGTCTGGGAAGCCTGAGGACTATTAGAGATGAGGCAGCCAATGCACTAACACAAGCGAAGCTGAAATAAAAGAGTAGTGGATGCAAGGATGGAGAGGTGTCAGGCTGGCGCAGGAACTGGAAACGAGTGCAAAAAGAAAGAAAGAAAAAAAAAAAAGGCAAACATTCCACATCCGTAGCAGTAATGCACCAAGGGGAAACTTGTACCTCAGAATTAACGGCTCCTGAGCCACTTTCTATTCACCTACATTCATGTAACCTTGCTGACTCGAACAGGGCCACGTACCTATTAGAAGGGAAAAAACTGGCCTTGTCTTTTGGTGTTGAGCACTCCCGTCTCCTTCCTGTCGCCTGCCTCTCAAGCAGCGTCAGTCACTTTACACAAAGAGCCAATAGTCCCTGTGCTCTGCAGGTTTCGGCTGGGATTCTACAACTTTCTGTATGACACCAACGCAGAACTCGCCCTGCCTGGGCTGCAAAAGCAAGTAAGTCCTGTTGTTTTCCCAAAGAGTATAGAAATAGCATCTGTGCTCGCAAACCAGGACTTTCACCACCTTCAGAAAGGGTGTTTTGTTTTCTTTTAAAATAAACAGAACTGCTGACAAAGCTCTAGTTTCACAAAATTTGAAAGAATTAGGGGGCGCACTGTGCAATATTTATTACTGTTCCTCAGCCAAGCATCTCAGCAGTCTGTTCAGTGAGTCTGGCCACAGCTGTATGGTCTAGCTTGTCTACAAACAAGGATTCATAGCAAAGCATTTTGTGGGGGCATGGGAGAGGGAGGGAGGGAAGGAGGCAGGGGAAAGAGACAAAACCCCGTTCTCATCTAGCTCAAAGCTGGACAATTACTTAACAGAAGTGAGAGTTGTTTGGGATTAGGAAACTCCACATACCTGTTCTGCAAAGAGATTAGGTGTTACAATAGTTACATTTAGACAACAAGAACACCAGCTTTTATCCTAATTAGTACTTTGCACATTACATTTTTAAAGAACAGTTTAAACATCGGTTCTATGCACTGCAAACTGCTGGGTCTCAGCAAGCCTTCCCCCGGGTCCAGTGTGCCCAGGCTTTGACAATCATTTGGGAAGGGGAGAGGAAGGAAGAGCCTGACCCTAGAATGTATCGTGAGGAGGGCACAAAGAGGCTGCTGCTGGCAGCGGAGGAGGGAATGAAGTCAGGAGACCGCGGCTGGAGCAAGGACATATCTACCTCTGTGGCTCCAGCCTAGAGGGGAGCCAGAACAGGACAGAGCAGGAACACAAGGAGCCACAGTTACGGAGATCTCTTGCGCAGCAGGCAGCATTGCTCCCAGAAACCATGGACTCCCTCCCTGCCCCTGCCCTGCTCGCTGGCTCCAGCCACCTCCCTGCAGCCCTGCTCTACCCTCAGCCGCTTCTGTTGTAACCCCCACTCCACTGCCAGCAGCTCCTCGGCAGTATGTTCCCCCATTCCCTGAGGATACATCCCACACCAGGGAAGGGAGGGAGGAAGGGAAAGGCCTCTCAGTTTGAAAATTTCCTCTGTGTACAACAAGTATGGCCACAGGATTAGCTCCTATGGCAGTGGCTACTCCTTTAAACTGATTCATCTCTCTTGTCAAAATCCATCTGCCCAATTATACGTGCTGCAAATACTTGGCTCACACGTCTCAGGTACATGAAAAAGGCTCCAACAGCAGAGTTAGCTTATTCTGACATGCAGGAATTTAGCACTTTTCCCCCTCCAGTTTAATCTTTGACAAGTGACATCATATAAGAGCAATAGAGTATACAGGGATGCATCAAAGGCAACACTTCCACATACAGCATGGAAGAGAATCCCATGAGTTCCCCGCAGAGGTGAAGATTTCCTCAAATCAGAGACTCCAGCTCCACCTTACTGGCTGCAAACAACATGCTCCTGGTGCAGGTGACATACATGCCTGTGAAATCTTAACACGTGGCCTGCTTCCTGTAGCAAACAGGCAAGCATCAGCATTTAAGTAACCTTTTTCATGTTAACCCCTACTAAGATGAACTAGGTTTTCATATTTTTATTTTAGTGTATATTTTACATTAGAAAAAAGAATGTTAATAAAAAAGCTCCACATGCTCCTAACAATCAATTTTCTGATAAGTCCCCGCCAGTATCAATACTAATATACAAATAAATTAATTTTGCTAGTTAATTTTCTGCCTGGCTTGGTGCAGGCTCTGCACAAACAGCGCACCTGAATTCAAGTGCCTGTCCACATTGCCAACACGTGCCAGGGAGTGTGTTGTACGTAACCTTTCCTCCTCATAACGTAGCGGTGTTTAGTCTCACCTTGACAAGTGGGATCAAATTTTCTCAGCCATGTTACCCAGCAGGCACAAATAATCTTTACCAGGCTGCATGGCACTGTTATAACATGGATTGTTTCACTCTGCAAAAGCCCCAAGCCTTGATTAACAACTGTATGCTACTATTCCCTCATCACTCACTTTGGCAATACAACACCCTCCCCACAAAAACAAGTAAAGCAAAAATCTACATGGAAGACCTAAAATTCATCAAATGCAGAATCTGACCTGACTCAAGGCATATCCCCCCCCCAGTATTAACCCGGTCTCTCACCTACAATTCCTCTGTTCGCTTTTGTTTGTGTAGCAGGATTTTGCACAGCTGATTTACAAGAAGAGAGATGTCACATGTAATCATACTAGATCACAGCCACTGCTGGTACTGTTGGGTCAGACACAGCAGCAGCCACTCTTAACACCAGCCACTCTCCTCGTGCAATGCCAATGCTACAATGCCCAGGTTAAAGGAGCATTGGGAAATCTAGCTGAGATATTTTGTAACCTCCTTCAGTGCCTAGGAGGATTTTTGGGTCAGAGGAAGGTAGAAGAAGAGGGGGGGAAAAGCCCATTAAATTTACAAGCAGATTAAGGAAAAACACTCCACTGCCAATTTATTTTTAAAAAGGGTTGTGTGTTATTCTAAGGTTTGTCTGTATAATTGTACAACCGTTGAAAATTACATAAATTGTAATGATCTAATACTATTAACAGCCATTCAGAGAAAAACTCCCTCCCCTTCTGAAACCATCAAGGGCAGGAGGGAAATGTCCCAGGAAATACGCCAATCTGAACTCTGGCCTCTAGCCTGGCAGAAACAGAAACAGAAAGATAAGAGAACAAACTGGACTAAGATGTGGTGTTTGCATGTGTCTGACTTGCAAGGGGAGGGGTGGCTTTGTCCTTGGCCGTGTTCTCCCAGAGGCAGTGCCTGCGTATCCCGGTGAAGCTGCCATCACTTCACTCGCTGCTCTCACCCCTGCACTTTGTCCCTTCTTCCGGTCTTATGTGTCATGGAAGTCTTTCAGCAGGGTCCGCCGTCTCTGCTCTGCTATGTGCATCTGATTCTCTAAGTCCTGGTAAAACAAAAGGTAGAAACCGTTAGCACGAACTACTCAAAGAGCTCATTTTCCTTCGGCAGGGACTCAGCCCCAGCCTGAGAAGCTCCGACCTTCATGTGCACTCTGGATCACAAGACTGCAGATCCTTTTCCTTTTGATGTGGGCTCCCTCTGCAGTTACCCGCCTCCTGCTCTGTCTAAAAAGCTACGCACTTAAGGAATCTGCTCTTCACCAGCGGGCTACATGCAGCTTCCTCCAGAGATCTGTTGTTCCCGTTTCAGTTTGCAGGACTCACTGCAGCCCTCCCTCCTCTCCTGTAAGGCAGTGAGCACTCCACTTCTACAACATCCTCTGGCTAAAGGTGAGCTTCTGGATCTAGTTTCTCAGAACCCTCACTTGACCGCCTTAGCGCTCCTGCAGAAGTATTAAGCCCAACAAACAAAATCCGGCCAGCGGGCTCAAGCAAGCAGAACACTCACCCCTCTGTCATAGCTGTCTGCTCGCTCCACCTTCCATGAGAGATTTTCAATTTCAGCTTCCAGCTGGGCCTGCTGGTACTCGAACTGCAGAGCAAAATTAGAGACAGTGACAAGAAACTAGTTTAGTAGAGCAGTTTCATATCACACACTACACTTGAGGAGCAGACAAATGTGTTCTGCTGACAGCTGCGCTGGCAGAGCAGGTTTGTGCCTCCTCCTTATCCACCTTCAGCTACACAGCATCACCCCTTCCAGGAGTTTCTTCTGTAAGCACTCCCCAATCTGCATCACTCAAAATTAAACCAGTCAGCCTAAAAACACTGCAAGTGACAAGTATCTCCTAACTCAGCTCATTTTGCCATAAACGGGTCACGAAATGCTCTCGTGAGCAGCTCTGCAAGCAGAGCAGAGGGACTGTCAACCACTGCTGGGAGCAGTAACTGGTTCCACTGGCACAGTCGGACCCAGAAGAGAACATCTGTCCACAGCCTCAGAGAATACATTTGATGCTATAGGGAGAGATTGGATAACAGGTTTTACTGGACAACTGAGTTAGAGAAACAACCTCTTCAGTGAATTCAGGGCTAATTTTGGACATGTCCATCCCATGGGATGCTCCAAGCCAGCAAGGAACTTACAGCAG